TGTGTGTGTGTGTGTGGTGCTGGGATGACAGTGTGATGTGGATCAGGAATCTGTAGGGGTCTGTCTGGACCTGTTCCTGGACCATCACAGGGAGAGCTTCTGATGAAATACTCCGGAAATTATCACTTATTTTTAATAAGAAACAATGCTAACAGTTGTAAGCATGCTTTTCTAAAGCCTCACAATCTTATAAAGGAAAGCACGTGTGGTTTAAGAGCCAGGTGTAGCCTACTTAAGATTTTGCTATAATGTAGAAAAGAGTTCATATGGTTGTTCATATAACTTTTAGTGTTTGCAACAGTTATAGTCTGTTGTATAATTTACAAAACTACAATGGTAGCATGTGCAGTGATGGTATCAGATCACATGCTTTACTTCAAGGTTCTTCAGCATGTTTCTACATGGTAATTATAATGTAATAATGCGTTTATGATTTGTAAGAAAGGGGAATAGCCTTGTTACACCACTTTATATAGTTTCAGTAAAGTAAAGATGCGTTTTAGTTAATGAATTGTATGTATTGAAATCATTCTGCTGCATGCAGCATTGTGTGGAGAGCTGTATGAACTAGGGGTTGAACGACTTCAGATGTTTTTAAAGTAGATATGTATCTGATGAAAGTCGAGTCGACGTCGATTAGTAGCTGATGGCGTCATTGATGAAGAAATAAGCCCGAACCTTGAGCTGAGACTTTAACACCTCGTGCTCAGCTGTGGCCTATGATATATAAAGTACTGCCCACAGTGCTACTGCTCCTATAACAGCCCATTTATCAGTTCTTATATTTCTCACAGATTTCTGCTCGTTCTGAATCAGATCCAGATAAAGTAACAAAGTAAAGATTTATATGAATGCATAATAGTGAAGCTGTGGGTTTTAGTTACTAAGAAATATATGCAAGAACCTTTCAGTTTCTAAGCTATATTACTGAGTAATCACAGAACAGTGTTGACATACATTTCCGCGCTACTGAATTACAATGCAGCGATGAAAAGCTTTCCAGCGCTGGACAGAACTCAAGGAGCGGAAGGCCTGCGATCGGACGCCGAGGTTGCTTTGTTTCTTCTCGATACGTGAGTAACACCGTGTCTTGCGCCGCAACAGCTAAAGTCTGTCTAGTACACTGGACGCGACAAAGCGACCGTTGAAAATAATTTCTTTCTGTCAGGGATTTGTCGTGTCGATATCTATATATATCTATGGTGTAGACAGCATCATTGATTATAATGAGTTCTATAGTATTTTGTCGCGCCGCGCCACTCGCG